CAATCAGCCAGCCAACCAGGAGGCGTGTAACACTTAGACAGCCAATCAGGGGGCGTGTAACACTCAGCCAGCCAATCAGGAGTTGTGTAACACTAGACCAGCCAATCAGCAGGCGTGTCACACTCAGCCAGCCAATCAGGAGGCGTGTAACACTCAGGGAGCCAATCAGGAGGCCTTTGACATTCAGCCAGCCAATCAGGAGACGTTTAACACTCAGCCAACCAATCAGGAGGCATGTAACACTCAGCCAGCCAATAAGGAGGCGTGTCACACTCAGACAGGGAATCAGGGGGCTTGTAACACTTAGCCAGCCAATCAGGAGGCGTGTAACACTCAGTCAGCCAATCAGGAGGCATGTAACACTCAGCCATCCAATCAGGAGGCATGTAAAACTCAGACTGCCAATCAGGAGGCGTGTCACACTCAGGAAGCCAATCAGGAGGCGTGTAACACTCAGCTACCAAGCAGGAGGCGTGTAACACTCAGCTAGCCAATCAGAAGGAGTGTAACACTCAGCCAACCATTCAGGAGGCGTGTAACACTCAGCTAGCCAATCAGGAGGCGTGTAACACATAGACAGCCAATCAGGGGGCGTGTAACAAACAGCCACCCAATCAGGGGGCGTGTAATACTCAGCCATCCAATCAGGAGGCATGTATCACTCAGAAAGCCAAGCAGGAGGCATGTAACACTTAGCCGGCCAATCAGGAGGCGTGTCGCACTCAGGAAGCCAATCAGGAGGCGTGTAAGAGTCAGATAGCAAATCAGGGGGCGTTTAACACTCAGCCAGACAATCAGGAGCTGTGTAACACTCAGCCAGCCAATCAGGAGGCATGTAACACGTAGCCAGCCAATCAGGAAGCGTGTAACACTAGACCAGCTTATCAGGAGGCGTGTCACACTCAGCCAGCCAATCAGGAGGCGTGTAACACTCAGGCAGCCAATCAGGAGGCCTTTGACAATCAGCCAGCCAATCAGGAAACGTTTAACACTCAGCTAACCAATCAGGAGGCATGTAACACTCAGCCAGCCAATAAGGAGTCGTGTCACACTCAGCCAGCCAATCAGGAGGCATGTAACACTCAGCCAGCCAATCAGGAGGCGTGTAACACTCAGCCAGCCAATAAGGAGGCGTGTCACAATCAGCCAGCCAATCAGGAGGCGTGTAACACTCAGCCAGCCAATAAGGAGGCGTGTCACAATCAGCCAGCCAATCAGGAGGCGTGTAACACTCAGCCAGCCAATCAGGAGGCGTGTAACACTAAGCCAGCATGTCAGGAGGCGTGTAACACTCAGCCAGCCAATCAGGAGGCCTGTAACACTCAGCCAGCCAATCAGGAGGCGTGTAACACTCAGCCAGCCAATAAGGAGGCGTGTTACAATAAGCCAGCCAATCAGGAGGCGTGTAACACTTAGACAGCCAATCAGGGGGCGTGTAACACTCAGCCAGCCAATCAGGAGGCGTGTAACACTTAGACAGCCAATCAGCGGGCGTGTAACACTCAGACAGCCAATCAGGAGGCGTATAACACTCAGACAGCCAATCAGGGGGCGTGTAACACTCAGCCAGCCTATAAGGAGGCGTGTCACAATCAGCCAGCCAACCAGGAGGCGTGTAACACTTAGACAGCCAATCAGGGGGCGTGTAACACTCAGCCAGCCAATCAGGAGTTGTGTAACACTAGACCAGCCAATCAGCAGGCGTGTCACACTCAGCCAGCCAATCAGGAGGCGTGTAACACTCAGGGAGCCAATCAGGAGGCCTTTGACATTCAGCCAGCCAATCAGGAGACGTTTAACACTCAGCCAACCAATCAGGAGGCATGTAACACTCAGCCAGCCAATAAGGAGGCGTGTCACACTCAGACAGGGAATCAGGGGGCTTGTAACACTTAGCCAGCCAATCAGGAGGCGTGTAACACTCAGTCAGCCAATCAGGAGGCATGTAACACTCAGCCATCCAATCAGGAGGCATGTAAAACTCAGACTGCCAATCAGGAGGCGTGTCACACTCAGGAAGCCAATCAGGAGGCGTGTAACACTCAGCTACCAAGCAGGAGGCGTGTAACACTCAGCTAGCCAATCAGAAGGAGTGTAACACTCAGCCAACCATTCAGGAGGCGTGTAACACTCAGCTAGCCAATCAGGAGGCGTGTAACACATAGACAGCCAATCAGGGGGTGTGTAACAAACAGCCACCCAATCAGGGGGCGTGTAATACTCAGCCATCCAATCAGGAGGCATGTATCACTCAGAAAGCCAATCAGGAGGCGTGTAACACTCAGACAGCCAATAAGGAGGCGTGTCACAATCAGCCAGCCAACCAGGAGGCGTGTAACACTTAGACAGCCAATCAGGGGGCGTGTAACACTCAGCCAGCCAATCAGGAGTTGTGTAACACTAGACCAGCCAATCAGCAGGCGTGTCACACTCAGCCAGCCAATCAGGAGGCGTGTAACACTCAGGGAGCCAATCAGGAGGCCTTTGACATTCAGCCAGCCAATCAGGAGACGTTTAACACTCAGCCAACCAATCAGGAGGCATGTAACACTCAGCCAGCCAATAAGGAGGCGTGTCACACTCAGACAGGGGGGCAATCAGCCAATCAGGGGCTTGTAACACTTAGCCAGCCAATCAGGAGGCATGTAACACTCAGTCAGCCAATCAGGAGGCATGTAAAACTCAGACTGCCAATCAGGAGGCGTGTCACACTCAGGAAGCCAATCAGAAGGCGTGTAACACACAAAGCCAAAAAAAGGGGGGTTTTCACCACCCAGTTAAAAAAAAGAACACTCAGCCACCAATCAGGAGGCGTGTAACACTCAGCTAGCCAATCAGGAGGCGTGTAACACATAGACAGCCAATCAGGGGGTGTAACAAACAGCCACCCAATCAGGAGGCGTGTATAGCCATCCAATCAGGAGGCATGTATCACTCAGAAAGCCAAGCAGGAGGCATGTAACACTTAGCCGGCAACAGGAGGGTTCCCAAAAAAAAGTGTAACACTCAGATAGCAAATCAGGGGGGGTTTAACACTCAGCCAGACAATCAGGGGCTGTGTAACACTCAGCCAGCCAATCAGGAGGCATGTAACACGTAGCCAGCCAATCAGGAAGCGTGTAACACTAAACCAACTATTAAGAGGGGGTACACTCAGCCAACCAATCAGGAGGCGTGTAACACTCAGCCAGCCAATCAGGAGGCCTTTGACATTCAGCCAGCCAATCAGGGGCGTTTAACACTGTCAGGGGCATTAACACTCAGCGCAAAAGGAGTTGTGTCACACTCAGCCAGCCAATCAGGAGGCATGTAACACTCAGCCAGCCAGGGGGGTAACACTCAGCCAGCCAATAAGGAGGCGTGTCACAATCAGCCAGCCAATCAGGAGGCGTGTAACACTCAGCCAGCCAATCAGGAGGCGTGTAACACTTAGCCAGCATGTCAGGAGGCGTGTAACACTCAGCCAGCCAATCAGGAGGCCTGTAACACTCAGCCAGCCAATCAGGAGGCGTGTAACACTCAGCCAGCCAATAAGGAGGCGTGTTACAATCAGCCTGCCAATCAGGGGGCGTGTAACACTCAGACAGCCAATCAGGATGCGTGTAACACTCAGCCAGCCAATCAGGAGGCGTGTAACACTTAGACAGCCAATCAGGAGGCGTGTAACACTCTGCTAGCCAATCTGGAGGCGTGTAACACTCAGACAGCCAATAAGGAGACGTGTCACACTCAGGAAGCCAATTAGGAGGCATCTAAAACTCAGGCAGCCAATCAGGAGGCGTGTAACACTCAGGCAGCCAATCAGGAGGCCTTTGACATTCAGCCAGTCAATCAGAAGGCGTGTAACACTCAGCCAGCCAATCAGGAGGCGTGTAACACTCAACCAGCAAATCAGGGTGCGTGTAACACTCAGCAAGCCAATCAGGAGGCATCTAACACTCCGCTAGCCAATCTGGAGGCGTGTCACACTCAGCCAGCCAATCAGGAGGCATGTAACACTCAGGCAGCCAATCAGGAGGCCTTTGACATTCAGCCGGCCTATCAGGAGCCGTTTAACACTCAGCCAACCAAACAGGAGGCATGTAACACTCAGCCAGCCAATAAGGAGGCATGTCACACTCAATATGATGTTAACAGAGTGTAGATCCTACTGACTCTCTGCTCGAACTGTCAGAGCTCTGTTAGTAACGTGTGCACAGCTCCCAACCGTGCAGTGCCGTGTGCACTGAGCATCTAGGAGCTAGGAGCAGGTGAATGAAGCGGCAAGAAAGGACTTAACGTTACCTTTAGGGGCAGAAAGAGGGAGAGGAAGGAAGAGAAAGAGGAGAAACAACGAGAAAGGTATGTCTTGGTAATGTAACATTTATTGATATTTTCTGCCAAATACATTAGCCTATAATAGCAAATTTGCTAGATAACATTAGTTCAAAACGTCTTACTAGGTTAGATAACGTTAGTTTAACAGTACTATTCAAGCTAACGTTGTTGTGTTTGTGTAATACTTTGAATAAGTTGATTCTCAGTGTATATATATTATTCTGGGTCACTTTTTGGCATCAAAACAACGTTTTTGATAACGTTTGATAGCAAATGTTTAATAACTAACGTTAATTACAAACGCGGTGACGTTTGTTAGCAATATGGTTTTACATTAATGAATTAATTTAGTTAACTTATAGTTTGAGGTATGTTGTTTGCTGCAGAGCACAGTAATTTATGTGAGTAAATAAACATATTCCTTTTACATCAACCCCCTATTATGCTCATACGTTATATGAAACTTCCCCAGGAGCACTGTTAAAGTATTTAGGAGGAGGCACTGACTCAGCCCAGGGGCAATCCACCTCCTCAGGAGCAGCCAAGGCTGATGAATCAGGTGATCAGAAACTGTTACCATATATATTTAATTTCTAGTCAAATGATCTCATAAAGATATACTAATATAAGATATAATCATATGACAAGGGACATTTTTTTCATCTCAGGTCCATCTCTATCCTCTGCTCCATCCACTGTGCCCACTGTCCTCTCTGCAACCTCAGCTGTACCTGGTAAGTTAACAACAGAACAACCTTTATAATTGCTCAGTGTACTGCAGAATATTCTGAGATGAATAATTTTGTCCAAAAATATTATTTTAATTTCCCTATAGGTCCTTCATCTTTGGTCATGGAGATTGATGTGTCTTCTTCATCATCCAGTTTGGAGCAGGGATCAGCAGCTCCGCCAGTTGACCCAGCAAGGGTCAAGGAAGCCAATCAGGAGGCATGTCACACTCAGGCAGCCAATTAGGAGGGATGTAACACTCAGGTAGCCAATTTGGAGGCTTGTAACACTCAGGCAGCCAATAAGGAGGCGTGTCACACTCAGGCAGCCAATTAGGAAGGGTGTAACACTCAGGTAGCTAATCAGGAAGCCTTTGACACTCAGCCAGCCAATCAGAACGTGTGTTACACTCAGCCAACCAATCAGGATGTGTGTAACACTCATCTACCAATCAGGAGGCGTGTAACACTCAACCAGCCAATCAGGAGGCGTGTAACACTCAGCTAGCCAATCAGGAGGCGTGTAACACTCAGCCAGCCAATCAGGAGGCGTGTAACACTCAGCTAGCAAATCAGGAGGCATGTAACACTCAGGCAGCAAGTAAGGAGACGAGTCACACTCAGGCAGTCAATTAGGAGGGATGTAACACTCAGGCAGCCAATCAGGAGGCGTGTAACACTCGGGCAGCCAATCAGGAGGCCTTTGACATTCAGCCAGTCAATCAGGAGGCGTGTAACACTCAACCAGCAAATCAGGGTGCATGTGACACTCAGCAAGCCAATCAGGAGGCGTGTAACACTCTGCTAGCCAATCTGGAGGCGTGTAACACTCAGACAGCCAATAAGGAGACGTGTCACACTCAGGCAGCCAATTAGGAGGCATCTAAAACTCAGGCAGCCAATCAGGAGGCGTGTAACACTCAGGCAGCCAATCAGGAGGCCTTTGACATTCAGCCAGTCAATCAGAAGGCGTTTAACACTCAGCCACCCAATCAGGAGGCGTGTAACACTCAACCAGCAAATCAGGGTGCGTGTAACACTCAGCAAGCCAATCAGGAGGCATCTAACACTCCGCTAGCCAATCTGGAGGCGTGTCACACTCAGCCAGCCAATCTGGAGGCGTGTAACACTCAGCCAGCCAATCAGGAGGCTTTTAGCACTCAGCCAGCCAACAAGGAGGCGTGTAACACTCAGTCAGCTAATCAGGGGGCGTGTAACACTCAGCCAGCCAATCAGGAGGCGTGTAACACTCAGGCAGCCAATCGGGAGGCCTTTGATATTCAGCCAGTCAATCAGAAGGCGTGTAAAACTCAGCCAGCCAATTAGGAGGCATGTAACACTCAACCAGCCAATCAGGAGGCGTTTAACACTCAACCAGCAAATCAGGTGGCGTGTAACACTCAGCAAGCCAATCAGGAGGCGTGTTACACTCTGCTAGCCAATCAGGAGGCGTGTAACACTCAGACAGCCAATAAGGAGACGTGTCACAATCAGGCAGCCAATTAGGAGGTATCTAAAACTCAGGCAGCCAATCAGGAGGCGTGTAACACTCAGGCAGCCAATCAGGAGGCCTTTGACATTCAGCCAGTCAATCAGAAGGCGTGTAACACTCAGCCAGCCAATCAGGAGGCGTGTAACACTCAACCAGCAAATCAGGGTGCGTGTAACACTCAGCAAGCCAATCAGGAGGCATCTAACACTCCGCTAGCCAATCTGGAGGCTTGTCACACTCAGCCAGCCAATCAGGAGGCATGTAACACTCAGGCAGCCAATCAGGAGGCCTTTGACATTCAGCCGGCCTATCAGGAGCCGTTTAACACTCAGCCAACCAAACAGGAGGCATGTAACACTCAGCCAGCCAATAAGGAGGCATGTCACACTCAATATGATGTTAACAGAGTGTAGATCCTACTGACTCTCTGCTCGAACTGTCAGAGCTCCGTTAGTAACGTGTGCACAGCTCCCAACCGTGCAGTGCCGTGTGCACTGAGCATCTAGGAGCTAGGAGCAGGTGAATGAAGCGGCAAGAAAGGACTTAACGTTACCTTTAGGGGCAGAAAGAGGGAGAGGAAGGAAGAGAAAGAGGAGAAACAACGAGAAAGGTATGTCTTGGTAATGTAACATTTATTGATATTTTCTGCCAAATACATTAGCCTATAATAGCAAATTTGCTAGCTAACATTAGTTCAAAACGTCTTACTAGGTTAGATAACGTTAGTTTAACGTTACTATTCAAGCTAACGTTGTTGTGTTTGTGTAATACTTTGAATAAGTTGATTCTCAGTGTATATATATTATTCTGGGTCACTTTTTGGCATCAAAACAACGTTTTTGATAACGTTTGATAGCAAATATTTAATAACTAACGTTAATTACAAACGCGGTGACGTTTGTTAGCAATATGGTTTTACATTAATGAATTCATTTAGTTAACTTATAGTTTGAGGTATGTTGTTTGCTGCAGAGCACAGTAATTTATGTGAGTAAATAAACATATTCCTTTTACATCAACCCCCTATTATGCTCATACGTTATATGAAACTTCCCCAGGAGCACTGTTAAAGTATTTAGGAGGAGGCACTGACTCAGCCCAGGGGCAATCCACCTCCTCAGGAGCAGCCAAGGCTGATGAATCAGGTGATCAGAAACTGTTACCATATATATTTAATTTCTAGTCAAATGATCTCATAAAGATATACTAATATAAGATATAATCATATGACAAGGGACATTTTTTTCATCTCAGGTCCATCTCTATCCTCTGCTCCATCCACTGTGCCCACTGTCCTCTCTGCAACCTCAGCTGTACCTGGTAAGTTAACAACAGAACAACCTTTATAATTGCTCAGTGTACTGCAGAATATTCTGAGATGAATAATTTTGTCCAAAAATGTTATTTTAATTTCCCTATAGGTCCTTCATCTTTGGTCATGGAGATTGATGTGTCTTCTTCATCATCCAGTTTGGAGCAGGGATCAGCAGCTCCGCCAGTTGACCCAGCAAGGGTCAAGGAAGCCAATCAGGAGGCATGTCACACTCAGGCAGCCAATTAGGAGGGATGTAACACTCAGGTAGCCAATTTGGAGGCTTGTAACACTCAGGCAGCCAATAAGGAGGCGTGTCACACTCAGGCAGCCAATTAGGAAGGGTGTAACACTCAGGTAGCTAATCAGGAAGCCTTTGACACTCAGCCAGCCAATCAGAACGTGTGTTACACTCAGCTACCAATCAGGAGGCGTGTAACACTCAACCAGCCAATCAGGAGGCGTGTAACACTCAGCTAGCCAATCAGGAGGCGTGTAACACTCAGCCAGCCAATCAGGAGGCGTGTAACACTCAGCTAGCAAATCAGGAGGCATGTAACACTCAGGCAGCAAGTAAGGAGACGAGTCACACTCAGGCAGTCAATTAGGAGGGATGTAACACTCAGGTAGCCAATCAGGAGGCGTGTAACACTCAGGCAGCAAATAAGGAGGCGTGTCACACTCAGGTAGCCAATCAGGAAGCCTTTGACACTCAGCCAGCCAATCAGAACGTGTGTAACACTCAGCCAGCCAATCAGGAGGCGTGTAACACTCACAAAGCCAAGAAGGAGGCGTGTCACACTCAGCCAGCCAATCAGGAGGCGTGTAACACTCAGCCAGCTAATAAGGGGGCGTGTGACACTCAGCCAGCCAATGAGGAGGCAAGTAACACTCTGCTAGCCAATCTGGAGGCGTGTAACACTCAGCCAGCCAATCAGGGGGCGTGTAACACTCAGCCAGCAAATCAGGAGGCGTTTAACACTCAGCCAGCCAATTAGGAGGCCTGTAACACTCAGCCCGCCAATAAGGACGCGTGTCACACTCAGGCAGCCAATTAGGAGGGGTGTAACACTCCGGTAGCCAATCAGGAAGCCTTTGACACTCAGCCAGCCAATCAGAACGTGTGTAACACTCAGCCAGCCAATCAGGAGGCGTTTAAGACGCAGCTACCAATCAGGAGGCGTGTAACACTCAGAAAGCCAATCAGGAGGCCTGTAACACTCAGCCAGCCAATCAGGATGCGTGTAACACTCAGCTACCAATCAGGAGGCGTGTAACACTCAGCCAGCCAATCAGGAGGCGTGTAACACTCAGCTCGCCAATCAGGAGGCGTGTAACACTAAGACAGCCAATCAGGGGGCGTGTAACACTCAGCCAGGCAATTAGGAGGGTTGTAACAATAAGGTAGCCAATCAGAGGCTTGTAACACTCAGCCAGCCAATCAGAGGCATGTAACACTCAGCCAGCCAATAAGGAGGCTTTTCAAACTCAGCCAGCCAATCAGGAGGCGTGTAACACTCAGCTACCAATCAGGAGGCGTCTAACACTCAGCTAGCCAATCAGGAGGCGTGTAACACTCAGACAGCCAATCAGGGGGCGTGTAACACTAAGCCAGCCAATCAGGAGGCGTATAACACTCACCCAGCAAATCAGAGGCTTGTAACACTCAGCCAGCCGATAAGCAGGCTTTTCAAACTCAGCCAGCCAATCAGGAGGCGTGTAACACTCAGGCAGCCAATCAGGAGGCGTGTAACACTTAGACACCCAATCAGGGGGTGTGTAACAATCAGCCAGCAAATCAGGAGGCGTGTAATATTCACCTAGCCAATCAGGAGGCGTGTCACACTCAGCCAGCCAATAAGGACGCGTCTCACACTCAGCCAGCCAATCAGGAGGCGTTTAACACTCAGGCAGCCAATCAGGAGGCGTGTAACACTCAGCCAGCCAATGAGAACATGTGTAACACTCAGCCAGCCAATCAGGATGCGTGTAACACTCATCTACCAATCAGGAAGCGTGTAACACTCAGCTACCAATCAGGAGGCGTGTAACACTCAGACACCCAATCAGGAGGCCTGTCACACTCAGCCAGCCAATCAGGAGGCGTGTAACACTCAGGTAGCCAATCAGGAGGCGTGTAACACTCAGCTACCAATCAGTAGGCATGTAACACTCAGCCAGCCAATAAGGAGGCGTGTCACATTCAGCCAGCCAATCAGGAGGTGTACAACACTCAGCCAGCCAATCAGGAGACATGTAACACTCAGCAAGCCAATCAGGAGGCGTGTACCACTCAGCCAGCCAATCAGGAGGCGTGTCACTCTCAGCCAGCCAATCAGGAGGCTTGTAACACTCAGCCAGCCAATCAGGAGGCGTGTCACACTCAGCCAGCCAATAAGGACACGTCTCACACTCAGCCAGCCAATCAGGAGGCGTGTAACACTCAGGAAGCCAATCAGGAGGCGTGTAACACTCAGTTACCAATCAGCATGAAAAGCCCAATCAGGAGGCGTGTAACACTCAGCCAGCCAATCAGAACGTGTGTAACACTCAGCCAGCCAATCAGGATGCGTGTAACACTCATCTACCAATCAGGAGGCGTGTAACACTCAGCTACCAATCAGGAGGCGTGTAACACTCAGACACCCAATCAGAAGGCGTGTAACACTCAGCCAGCCAATTAGGAGGCATGTAACACTAAGCGAGCTAATAAGGGGGCATGTAACACTCAGCCAGCCAATCAGTTGGCAAGTAACACTCTGTTAGCCAATCTGGAGGCGTGTAACACTCAGACAGCCAATCAGGGGCGTGTAACACTCAGCCAGCAATTCAGGAGGCGTTTTACACTCAGCCAGCCAATCAGGAGGCGTGTCACACTCAGCCAGCCAATAAGGACGCGTGTCACACTCAGCCAGACCAATCAGGAGGCGTGTAACACTCAGCTACCAATCAGGAGGCGTGTCACACTCAGACAGCCAATCAGGGGGCTTTTAATATTAGCCAGCCAATCAGGAGGCGTGTCACACTCAGCCAGCCATAAGGACGCGTGTCACACTCAGACAGCCAATCAGGGGGCTTGTAAAATTAGCCAGCCAATCAGGAGGCGTGTAACACTCTGCCAGGCAATCAGGAGGCGTGTAACACTCAGGCAGCCAATCAGGAAGCGTGTAACACTCAGGCAGCCAATAAGGAGGCGTGTCAAACTCAGGCAGCCAATTTGGAGGGTGTAACACTAAGGTAGCCAATAAGGAGGAGTGAAACACTCAGGCAGCCAATAATGAGGCGTGTCACACTCAGCTAGCCAATTAGGAGGCGTGTAATACTCAGCCAGCCAATCAGGAGGCGTGTAACAGTCAGCCAGCCAATCAGGAGGCGTGTAACACTCAGGTAGCCAATCAGGAGTCGTGTAACACACAGCCAGCCAATCAGGAGGCCTTTGACATTCAGCCAGCCAATCAGGAGGCGTGTAACACTCAGGCAGCCAATAAGGAGCTGTTTCACACTCAGGCAGCCAATTAGGAGGGGTGTATTCAATTCAATTCAATTCAATTTTATTTGTATAGCGCCAATTCATAACAGAAGTTATCTCAGGACACTTTTCAAATACAGCAGGTCTAGACCGAACTCTTTAACATTAATTACAGAGACCCAACAGTACCACCATGAGCAAGCACTTGGCGACAAGGGCAAGGAAAAACTGCCTGTTAAAAGGCAGAAACCTAGGACAGATCCTCCGGCTCTAGGTGGGTGGTCGTCTGTCTCGACCAGTTGGGGTGAGAGAGAGAGAGAGAGAGAGAGAGAGAGAGAGAGAGAGAGAGAGAGAGAGAGAGAGAGAGAGGCAGAGAGAGAGAGAGAGAGACAGACAGACAGACAGGTGCACAGCAACAACAGTATTGGCAATGGCAGTCAAGCAGGACCATGGCAGGAGGCTCCACCAGGATCCATGAGAACCTGCGAGACGAGAAAGCACAAGAACTCCGGGGAAGAAGTGGAGTTAGTAACATGCATTAATGGGACATGAATGAGTGCATAAAGAGAGAGGAAAGGGAGGAGCTCAGTGCACCATGGAAAATCCCCCGATAGTCTAGGCCTAAAGCAGCATAACTAAGGGATGGTTCAGGACTCACCTGATCCAGCCCTAACTATAAGCTTTATCAAAGAGGAATGTCTTAAGCCTACTCTTGAATGTGGTGATGGTGTCTGCCTCCCGATTGAACTCCAAGATTCCTGACAGTGGTGCTAGAGGCCAAGTTAATGCCATCTAGAGTGACTATATCTTTAGACAATGAGTCTCTAAGGTTTTTGGGGCCAAGAACAAGAATTTCGGTTTTTTCTGAGTTTAACATCAGAAAATTGCAGGTCATCCAGGATTTTATGTCCGTAAGACATGTTTGTAATTTAGATAATTGATTAATTTCATTGGGTTTGATTGATAGATATAACTGCGTATCATCTGCATAACAGTGAAAGTTAATGGAGTGATTCCTAATAATGTTGCCTAAAGGGAGCATATATAAAGTAAATAGTATTGGTCCAGTACAGAACCTTGTGGAACTCCATGACTAACTGTAGTATTTATTGAAGATTCATCGTTAACATGTACAAACTGCGAGCGATCTGATAAATATGACTGAAACCAGCTTAGTGCGGTTCCTTTAATGCCAATTTGATGCTCAAGTCTCTGTAAAAGAATATTATGGTCAATGGTGTCAAATGCAGCACTAAGATCTAATAATACAAGTACAGAGACAAGTCCATTGTCAGAAGCAGTCAGAAGGTCATTATTAACTTTAACCAGAGCTGTCTCTGTGCTATGATGAACTCTAAATCCTGACTGAAAATCCTCAAATAAACAATTGTTATGTAGAAAGTCACACAACTCTTTGGCGACTACTTTCTCCAGAATCTTAGAGAGGAAGGGGAGGTTAGAAATCGGTCTATAGTTGGCTAAAACCCCTGGGTCAAGAGTGGACTTTTTAAGAAGGGGTTTAATTACAGCTACTTTAAAGGACTGTGGTACATATCCTGATAATAAAGAAAGATTAATCATATCCAGTAAAGAAGTGCCAATTAAGGGAACAACTTCTTTAAGCAGCCTAGTTGGGATCGGGTCTAATAGACAGGTTGATGGCTTTGATGAAGAAAT